ACCCTTCAGATCATATTATGTTCACATGGTGCAGCCGCAGGGTTGAAATCTTTATAGGCCTAAATAGCATGCAATTTGTTGTGAGTTGGCTGTTCATTCGAGTCAATCGCGGCTTACTTAGACCCCTGCTTATTCTCACTCCTATAAGTGGCCGTAATAGAATGTCTCCCGACCCAATTAATATAGTCGCACACCCACTGACTGACGTCATACGTGTCTTAGTAATAAATATTTCCCAATAGCCAAAATTGTCCAAACATTTTATTTTTTCATTTTGGTATATACTTCGATTATTTATCGTTCTGCGAGATATATTATAGATATATAAGTTTAAAATAACTGTACATTTACGTTTTTCTATAATCATGCAGTTTTCAAATTCGTATTGAGCCCGCCAGGGATAGCGCCTTTAAGCATAAAAAGTTGTCATTTTAGAACTAGGTCTGACTTTTTTTTAGGTCTGTACATTACATTAGCTTATGTCCAGTGAAGATTGTCTTGAAAACGTGAACTCTGAATGCGCCCAGGCCAAGGGATGTTGACTTACCCTTGAAGCCAGAAAATTGGCTTCGGAACCATGCAGTATAACTATATGTCTGTTATTGTTATTCTAAGTTGTCTCACGTGCGAAGGGAATATAAAGTCAAATTTCTAACATTAGGAGTCTAAATAACAGTAACCTCTTATACCCTTCGCCTTGCGTCTTCCAGGTCGAGGGTTTTTGGGAAGGACAACTTTTTAATTGAATTATCTTCACGTGTATAGTTTATAAATAAAGTTAGCACTGTGCCTGTGGCAAGTATATGTCTAGGTCGTATTCTTTGGTATTTGTGAAATGAAAATTGTAACTACACCGATTTTTAATAGGAATTAAGTGGCTAATCTTTTCTTGCATATGCATGCGGTCAATGTCAAAGGTTTATAATAAGCGCGCTGTCGAAGAGTGATCTTGAGACTTGAGTGAGGTATTTTAGACGTATGCAATAATTGTCAATAGCTACGTATAACGCTTACGCTTTACAGCAGTGTCCATATATCAGTTCTGAACTTTTCAAGTTATCATATAAGACATGCATGCATGCAGTCTGAAAGAAAACTGAACCATATAAACTCTATATTTTTATGCAAAAAGCCTATTTAGCCTTCGGCTTAGCTTTGAAATTGAGTGTCGCAAGATATAGGAAGAGATTCTAGTAACCAACAGCTCGATTCAACCGAGAACCGGCACGATTCAGACATCTTGAAGTTCTAAAACAATTAAACGGAAACTCGTATAGCTGCCTTTAGAATTCGGCAAAACTTAATTTCGGTCGTTATTGATCGTTTTACAAATTAACAGACCATAAATTGCATCATACTGTGGCTTGTTTTACGTGTGCACTTTCTATATGGGACTCAAGAAATGAAATTAGGAAAAAGAGGGCCTTTCATACTCGCGATGGGGCTCCGATTATATTCATTAATCTGCTAAAATTTAAACCGCTCATTTCCTTAATGCTTTTATTTTAGGTAAATGCTGCTTTGGTTAATTCTAAGTTTCCTTTTTGTCAAGAAGGAATAAACAAATTTAGTTCCTATAGTTTTTTTCATGTTTTATGGATTTCGGTTTATGCTTAATTGAAGCAATTCAGGCTTAGAAATCTTTCACATGCATGCAGTGCGAAAATTTATTATAATATGCATAATAAAATATTCAAGACTATATAAGACATAAATAGGGCATATAAAGTTACAGCTTTGAAACGGATATATTCTGAAAAGAGCATTTAGTATATTTGATGATTTCCTTTGAAAACCCATATATTGTCAAAATACATCGTAGCATCCGTCAACAGATCAAGTTTTTAATATAACCATATTCACCATATTTAGTGAAAGAATATAGACGTTGGCCATACTATATATAGTATTCGCTCGATATGAAGATATTTGATGGTTTCCTCCAGATAAATATCTTCAAAGATAAAAACAGGAACTGATTAACTTGCAAAATTTAGTTTGGATGGGAGAAGAGTTCTCTCAGGTCTCAAACACAATACAAATAAAACATGCGGGCTGACATGTTTGAAAAACAGCGTCGGTGTCGATGATGTCTTAACCTTACATGTATTAACAACTTTTGTTGTTTTTTCTCACTTCTTTGAAATTGTAGCTTATCTGCATGATAATACAGGAACTGACTTAAAATGACTGCCATTTTAGTTTAGTAAATACAAGTCTGTACGGTTCGTGTTTATCTTCAGCAAGTGAAAACTGACAGTCATATAACTAAAAAAGTGCATGTTCTTTTCTTGGACTTCGACATAATAGTGCCATGCAGCGGTTTATTGAAATGAGTTCTTTCACTTTTATTTATATTATAAGTCATTTATAGATAGCAATGCATGCATGTATTCGCGTACAAGATTTATTAGAAATATGCGATTATATAGCTAATGATTATAGCTATAAAAATAATCTATTATATAATCCAATATTTGGGTTCTTATCCTTGTTTCTAAAGTTAGATATGTTATAATTTGTTCCTAGTTGAAAAGACCTGGAAGTGAAATGATTTGTCGAAAGGATTTTCATTTCAAAATCCTGTTCACGGCTTATAACAACCACTTAATTCACCTACGAGAAAATCCGATAAAATCATCACGTATATTGGTCCTGAACGTCGCGACCCTGCCTTGTGCCTTCTGGCTACCTTTACATGCATGTAGGTCGCGGAAAATTCCAGGTGAAGCCACTGAAGCCTATCCTTTTTTAGCGGTTCTTTAATGTTGTAATTGATTATAACTGTTATATTGCCTCCTTCTAGCTTGTGGATTTGTGGTCGATTTGAGGTCGTTCACAAATTTTAAGTGTTTAGGTATGTTTTCCCGTATGAAATCTGCGCGAACGATAAGTGGTTGCAACATTTTCCGTGGGTTTAAGATGCTTTGAATTCATAAAAGTTTTGTAATTCTGAATGATTGGAAAAACGTACCGCATCGCCCGGGAAATTTACAATCAAAAATTAACTGTCCATCCTATATGCATTTACTTTTTTTTTTTTCATTTAATCATGCATGTTCGCTCAGTTTTTTCATCTTTTCTATTATAATGAAAACTATATATAGAAACGTTGTAAATGCGTAATAGAAGCGCCCAACTATTTCAATATTGAGCTCACGCCTTGATTATGTTCTGAACGCACTCAGCTCAGTCGGCCAAAAGAACCTGTATATATATATGAACTATGGCCGTGTTTTTGGAAACAATCAAGTTGCTGGGGTCTGCAATCAATTTGTAAAACGCTTCCCTTAAACGATTTACAAATCATAAAATCTTTTGAATTGCATTCAAAAACCACACTGAGGAATTGGCCTGGCACTGTGATTCCATTGATTATAGACGTATTTTTATACTCATGGTTTGTAACGGATTTCTCCTTTCCACCCCGTTCCTAAACCGAACCCAAAATTACTTCCTTGCACATATAAACGCCTGATTCTCATTTTCTCATCGATGAGTCAACAGGCGATTGGCCCATATAGTTCTGTCCCAAAGTGACTATATAATGGACGTAAGGAAAGAAAAGGAAAATAATTACGATTTCGGTCCATCTGTATTTTCAATTCAAAAGGCAAAGAGCCTTCCACACAAGAGTTTCATAGCTGCCTAAATTTTTTATCATCATGCGTAGGAATATCCGAGTGCCAGTTTGGATATATTTTTGGCCAAAGAGCGCTATGTGATTAGAAAAATATAACTCGAGAACTTAAAACATAAAAAAGAGCCTTTACTACAAACAGACAGATATCTCACTGGCACAATTCTGATTTTTTTATAGATGGATCAGTTTTAAAATCAACGACCATGTCATCATACAGTGTCGATAACATCTCTGTAATCAGTTCAGTTTTATTTCAATATAACAGTGCACCAAACCAAGGATCCTTTCAATGTTATGTATATGCAATAAAACGTCTATATAGATGTGCAATCAGAAATGATTATTGGCAAAAACTACAAGCATAATGACAAATAATTCCAAACCAAAATCTCCAAGCCACAATAAGACTGATCTTATCTTAGAACACTTTTTCAATCTTTGTTTAACTTTGTCTTTTTCAACTCAAAATATAGTGTCAGCGTGAGGCAATATATTTAGGAGTTGACCTCCTTAACCCTTTCTTCCGTTCCAGACATGTGGCGCTGCATAAATTACTAAATTCTCGGTTTATTCGTAAACAAATCGAGTTCAAAACAAAATAGTCGCTTTTCACGAACTTATCAGCACGATTTCGACGTTTCTAATTCAGATTAGAATCTGAAATTGTCACTTTGAATACTAAACTGTTAGTTAAAATATTTTGCGATGATTTTTCTTGCCTATAAATCCCACCCGTGGCTATACCCTTAGGGACGTTCGGATTAAATCTGATAACCCAAGAAAACTTATACGAAGTTCCAAGCTCGCAAGATCCCAATACAGACACACAAAATGTTTTAATTAACGAATTTAGTGGATTGACAGTAAATTTGAAAAATGTCGAAAATGGGGCTGTTCGATGCTTCGGAAAATTCCATCAAAATATTTCAACACATTTCACAACGATTCATCCGGGCCCGCCTACTAAGTCATGACGTTTCCACACACCCCAAAAGGCAACGATAAAAGCTCAATCGTTTAAAGAAGACTGAAGATAGCTTTGTTAAGACTATATTTGTCTTACGAAAGTTTTGAATGAGTTTGGTTGTATATTTGACCATATAAAAAAGTTATAGGTCATTTGAGTCCGAGCGGAAAAGTGGATTATTCACTTCAACGGAAATGACTAAGCGAGTTATATTTGGCAAACGAAGAGCCCCTGGTTGCCAGGGATACCTGGCGAGTGTCAACAGTCCACCGGGAATGGTTAAGATAATTTTGTGGTCTCCTATTGGTTCGCGGCTTGATTAGTTTCGAAGCCCCGGAAATGAGCTGTCAATCAGAATTTTATGTAAAGAGGAATTGCTTTGAGCCAAGTTAACCATTCGCATTCTGATAGTCAAGACTGGCACTTTCTGTTCAAGAAAAGTTATTTTACTCACCGAACTACGAGTTTATATTACTCAAGGACACAGATGCCTTCACTCAGTTCTCAATTTAACACAATGTCCATTTCATCGGACTTGCTATACCAACAAATTCTTAACAACTCGTCGACTGTGCTCTTACTGGATTGCCGACCGTACAACGAATATTCAAATGCCCACGTTCACACTGCCGTAAACCTTGCTGTACCGTCGCTAATGCTGAGAAGACTTAAGAAAGGCTGCTCTGTAAATTTCTCTAACATGATCAGCACAGAGGAAGGCAAGCGACGCTTCGCTAAACGCGACCTTATGGACAAAATTGTGATCTATGATGGTTCGACGGATAACCTAACCAACACTGCCTTAGAGCTTATTATTCAACGACTCGTTTCGGAAGGCCTTGACAATATATTTTACTTAAAAGGTAACGAAAACACACTTTTATATATATTCTTATCGATCCCTTATATTCAGGAGTTCTTTGTTATGCTCAACAAATATTGAGCCAATTATGGGTACGGTTTCACGCCGTACGATTAAACATTACACATTCCGATGTACCATTAGTTCAAACTGTTCGTCTTGTTTCTCTAGAAATCATAAATGCTGACTCGTTCAGCTTTTCCTGAGCGCTGTAATTGACTGATTTAAATTTGCGATTTTAGTTTAGTTTTTATACATAAAATTTTATTTTTGGTTTTATATAATAATATAAACAAGTGCCATTTTAAATTTAGAACAAATTTGGCCCTCAAGGCGTAGGTTGGTTTGTAGTAAAGTCATTGACACTGTAGTGTTTCAATTAAAATAAATTCATTCCTTATATACATATGTTATGTGGCATTCGAACAGGTCACACTTTCCCCTTGGTTAACTCAGCACCGCTTGACGCTAGTTTACTGTTTTCCTTAGGTGGTTTTACAATGTTCAAAAGCGATTACCCAAATCTATGTGAATCAGAAGAGTCCGAACAAAGTGGTCCATCCTACATTCGCCTTTCCGATCTACGAATTACTAACGACGATTCAAGCCCATTGAAAACTTGCGCCCCAAGTAGCCCGTTTGACTCAAAAGCCAGGAAAGGTGCCGTCGAAATTTTACCCAACTTGTACCTCGGGAACGCAAGAGATGCCTCCGATTTGAGAGAACTTTTAGACAGAAACATCACCTATATTTTAAACGTAACAAATGATATCCCGAACAAGTTTGAAAATGACTCGCGATTCACGTACATGAATCTTAGAGTAAAGGACAACTGGCAGACCAACTTGTCCGATCATTTTCAAGAGGCTTTTAAATTTATTGGTGAGTATACATGCTGCTTTTTTCATCTTTTTAAGTATAGTATAGCTTCATGGTTAAACTAAAATCAACATAAATATCCAAATACAGATTAGCATGAATTGGAACTCTTGTTTATCGGTGTATTTGTAATAAATATGGTTTTGAATTGCAGTAATCAGCAATTCTAATTTTGTAGTTGAAAAAAACTAACAAACTATGGCCTTCTTTGAAATTAGAAACTCTTCTTATTGCTAAAACAACTCGAATATTTAAAAGTTTGAATTTGAAGCACGTGTTTTATATTCGCGCTGAAACTCCGTTTTGCGGTCAGCCAATATTATTGGAATTCCTATACAAATATTTCAAGTTCGATTTAAACCCTTGCACCGTAAAATCAAACCCACGGTCAAAAGTGTAACCAATTCATAAAGCCACACCTTGTATATTAAAGAACTTTACACACATAATGAAACAACAAATGAGTCTTTGGAAGAAAACAACATATGATCACTCAAACTGGAGCTATCTTAGAAGTGTCTGTGCCGGAAACACGAAGCCTACATTACGTTTGGCCTTTCGAATTCTTGGCTGCGGGCGAGTACGCGCGAGCTAGGCCAAATTTTTCAATTCAATAAAAGCTTGAACTCCGAAGAAGAATACTCGCACTTTCTTACACATGCTAATGAAATACGCGGTGATTATTTAAACTCTTCAGTGTTGTTTTTTTCCTGGGCGTAGGAGTTGCAGTGCTGTAATTTGAATTGGAAATGAGGAATGTAGTATTGGCTTAAATAAAACCAAAAGGAAGGAAATGTCATTATTTATTTTGGCTGCTTATTGAAAGGGAGTGAATTTAAAACCTTTCCAAATTCTTCAAGAGATCATTTTTCAGTCCTAGCTCTTTGATCGTTTATTTTGAACCATTATAGTTTATTTTAAAAATCAAACATGGGATTAGCTGTTTGTATTAGACTTCGATATATATCATTACCCCAAGTCACTGTTTATATAAATTCTAATCCATATTTTCTTTGACTTTTCGAATTCTGTCAGCTTATTGACTTTCTGTGGCTTAGGCACAAAGACGTTTGTTGGTTTAGCTTGCCCTATGGTTTTGTTTTATGCTGTTTATTTATGCGCATTCAGCCTTGCATGGATAGTCTACACAATTGCTTCTTAAGAAGGCGGTATTAAAGTTTGCTCTCATCAGAAAAGCCCAACGGCATTTAATCCCCGTTTCTATTTGATCGTAATTGTCGTGTACTTGTTAAGATTGTCTATGTAACAAAATATTAGTTCACTTCTGGCTAACGAATGATTTTCATCAAGTTAATGATGAAATCATGGTTTATTTTATATGTTTATATTTCAAAATTTTTGAATATCATTCATCCACTAATTGGCCACCAAATACTGATAGACACCCACATATTTCCTGAATTGTTAATTAACCACACTTTAACCTTTTTCTTCAGATGAGGCCAGACTTGATGGTAAAGCTGTTCTGGTGCACTGCCTTGCTGGTATCTCGCGTTCTGTGACAGTAACAACAGCGTATCTCATGGAACACGAGCACCTCAGTTTAAACGACGCCTACGACCTCGTGAAACGACGAAAATCTGATGTCTCGCCTAACTTCAGCTTCATGGGACAACTACTGGAGTTCGAACGGCGACTGAATATTCCTGAAACGCCAAGTTCTGCCTCTAGCAGTTTATCATCAACCAGCAGCTTGGAAATGGAAATCAGTGCTTTCTGAACCGTCTTGAAATGTGCATCACTGATCAGCATATTGAGATTGTCCTTTTGAACAGTGAAATAGTTTCTTCGGACATTGAAATTGTTCTAATGAAGATTTAAATTGTTGTTATGAACAAGATTTGTTACACTTGTTCTTTCGTACATTGAAATCGTTATTTAGAACTTTGCAATTGTTTTTCGAATGTCAAGCCGAATTTACTTGCTTGAGTGCGAAGAAGGAACTCATTATGCAAAACTATTTTTAATTATAAAATTGATTGATTGACGTCGTACTTAAAGTTTAGTTAGCCTTCCATTGACATTAAATAATCCTTTAGTAATTTATTAGATATGCCCAGATAACTTATTTATCCCCTGCAAGATAGATCAAAGCATACCGCGTCTGCGATTAGCTTCAATTGTAAATATCCACAAAGTGTACATAGAAATTATGAATTACTATATTAAGAGTTAGAGTTATATATATAATGTTCGCTTGTAAATATAAAATAAAATTTGTGCAATCTCCATTCGTGTTTCATATTTCAATAAAAAAATATTTGAAAATAGTTGGGGCTGTATTTACTTTGCTCCGCATGAATTATTGTGTAATTAAAACCTAAGTTGTTGATATTGCAAAAAAGGAATGTGGTGTTGGTTTACAACTGTCACCATTCAATTTCCTCAAAAGTCAAACTGATTTTTCTTGGATAGCTGGTTGACCTGTATAGATTTTTCGTCCGTTGATTGAATTGGCGCAGTGTCCTCTGTATTATATAGAGAATATTGAAAAGCTTAGGGCTGGTTTCCATAGATGTTATAATCCGTCGTAATTCATGGTAATGAGCAATCTGAGCCATCTGACATAAGAAAACCGAATTATGACGAGAACCGAATGAATTCTGACATACGTACGAAAACCATCTTTAAACTGTGAATAACTGGACTAGTTATCGATCGAAATTCGAAACAGCCCAATAAGATTCACCTGGGAACTGGGAAGCCGGTTTCGTAATTATTTTACATGCAGAATAAAAATCACTCAACAGAACGTGTCAAAGTATTCCAACGCCTTTCAGAGTTCGAGCATGCTGAGAGAATACAGGAAAATACTCTCTCACTTCGTTTTAATACCAACGTTCTGGTCAAGATATCCCCTTCCATGACCAGCATTTTCCCTTAAATTTTCCCCATAATTATTCCAAAAATTCTACGTTTATGAAAGCATTTACATTGATTTGAGAGGTTAGTTGGTTAGGTTCGCGAATAAAACTTTCATTTCAGATGAGAAGGAATGTAAATAGAGATACCTGTGGGTTGTTCCCAACTGGGACATCCTATTAAAATATCCCATTCCATTTATGGTCAAAATTTTGACTGTTGTATATATATTTCCAACTGTTTTCCTGGTGAGTTTTTTGGTTAGACTTTTCTATGCTAAGATGACCTTCGTGTTATTGTTTCTCAGGGTCACTGGCGTACCATGCCATGGTCCATGGGGAATAGTTCAGAAACGATAAACCATGAATTGAGCCCGTTTACTTTACACTAAATTTATTGACACACGGCACAACCAAAATTGTACCCGTACCAATTTTTTTCGTAGGAAAAATTTGGTGTGGGTCAGTGCTAATAAACTTAGTTCATAGGTATGCTTGCTACTGTGGATGCATGTAGTCCAACAGAACATGACGCCTCTGTGGATTTCCATAAGGTGCAAAATATTCCTTGTGACGACTAAATATAGGTTGAAAGGTGGTTAACATGAATGTTCTATAAAGATTAAACTTTAATTTGGTTGTTCAGTTATAGACTTGGACATATTCACACTTTACAGTTTGAGGCCTGTTTCATGCAAACGTCGGGATTTTCATGCGCTGAACCAGAGTGCCGCATCTATAGGGTAAGGCCCGGCGGCTAGAATGCCACATGCTTTACCCTGGATCCGCAACTGTTCTGAACGTATTAAAAACATGATAATCATGCAGTTGAGATGACTTATGATTGCGTTTGGAGCATGAGACAAACAGCTTTTGCAATCTATATAAAGTCAATAAGCTTAGTTCAACTGGCTCTTCTACATCCTATTTATATATGTTTCCAAATAATTGTGAAACTAATAACCCTGTAGTCATAAAACATGGATGTAGTCATAAAATATAGATAAGTCGCACTATCTTTCAGGAGCGACGGTGTGGACTTGACAGACCAATATTGATTATAAAACTGAAGTTAAAATAGAAAATAGGACTATATCGGTGTCTATATTCTATTTTCCGTTTGATCTTAGACTTATAGTGTTTCTGTTTTCTCTCAAATGTTTGCAATTAAGCAATATTTGCTTTCTGTCGTGCCTATGACATTGCATAACAAGTGAACTTAAAAACTCATCGGTTTGTTTGCAGAGCAAGGCTAACAAGTGGTCTAAAAATACATGCACATCATGCGTTGATTGGACATTAAAGGAAAGACGATATTGATGTGTCGTCAGTTAGTGTCGTACCTGTGACTTTCGTAACATTACGTGAGGTGTGCTCCGGCGGAAGAATCAAGAGAGGGGAAGGGGGGCAGACTACCCAGGGTTTGTCTTTAGTGTATTTCTAAGCTTTTGCACTGCTTTACAAGAGTAGAGCTTGATTTGAGCAGATTTGGCAACGAGCATCTTTTGAGGCATCCTTTGCCTTTGGCTTTAGATCGTGCATTATATGCTACTAAACGACGCCGAATATCGAGTAGATAAAAGCAAAATATAAAAGAAAAGCAGCTTTGGTATAGAATACGATTATATTTGATACCAGCCAACATGCACCGTGGCAATACGAAACGCTTAATTCCTGCCTTGCCACCAGGTAAAATAATCAAAAGAGTTTGGTATAAACTGAAAATAAACTATGGTTTTTATTGGAGACGTATATGATGCTATTTACATGGTATAACATAAAATATGCCATGCAGTATCCTAATTAACTATATTTGAAAAACAAGTCAGTTAATGAGTAAAAAGCGTGCGGAAAATTATAGTTTGTGAACCGTTTTAAAAAGCGGAAGAAGTCAAGAAGATAACTGTGGAAGCCTCTAGAGAGTGTAGCACTGTGAAAAAACCGTCTGTGTAAATGGGATTAATTTCGATGATACATACTGTTCTCGAGGCGGGATATTTAGAACATCAATAAGTCCCCCAGTTCGTTTAAAACGTTTTTTGTCAAAGCGGAATGTAGCGTGGGTTAGATTTAACGATATTGAGTTTCATGTCTCATTTATAAGATAGAATTACATTTACTGACTCTATTGCGTAGAAATAACTTAGGTCATGAATGATAAGAAACATTTAGGGTTTGGTATGGTTTGATATGATTTAACTAGATTACTGACTTTGATGAAAAGACGAGAAACTAATGATTGTTAAATTTATCAAAGTTTCCGCATGCACAATCACTTTTTAAAATAGAAATTTTTGGCGTTAAAAACTGCCTACATGGGCAAGAAAATGAAAACAAACACACTCAACTCTGAGGGAATTTAATCAATTTATATGCGATATTTAATTTCTCAGGTCCAGAGCAATTAAGGACTTTATTTCAGGCAGTCCAGTACGGCAGCAGGCTACTCTTTTGCAAATAAGTGTTTGCCTTGTCCTAATGTCCTTCATGACGTTTCCAACCAAAGCGCCCCAAAGAGGGGGTATAATTTATATCATTCCCAAACATCCTTTTAAAAACAATTTTCGCATTTCTGCGCACAGTCCCAACATTATACGCACGTAACGTTGGTTCCTCATTCCGTAATTTCCGACATCGCCTAAAGGCCCCTGACTAACAGCATGATGTAGACTCCGGTAATGAGTCAATGTTTACCTCGCCACGAAACATTTTAGCCATAGAAAGAATTGTGGGTAAACTGGGTTTGGACGTGGTGTGGAAAGCAATAATAAATTTGGCAAAGTTTGTTTACCACGACTGGCAATGCCGTGGCTGTGTAAGCAAACATTTTTATTGCGGATAATCGTAGCTAACCTCGTAGCTAACGAGCCTAAATATTTGAAGTCCAGAAGAGCGTTCGTCTAACCATTAAGTTGAACTAGGCAACCACTTCTAATTCAGGGCCATTGCAAGGCCAAATTTTCCACTTCGAGGCGGCCGCATTCCCAGGCCACGAGAGACTGCCACATGAGAGGCATTCATATATGATATCACGTTAGAATGGGAGGCGGTGATTATACGAAATCTTAATTTATCGAAAGATTAATAGAGTTATATTTGGTGGCTAAAATTCCTCAAGGGTTTGGGCTCTGCCACATTAACCCCCCCCCCTGGTCTACTTTGGATATATCGCTTCTATTATTGCTTTTAGTATTATAGAATTTACAGACTAAAGCTATATGACTTAATATTCATTATATGTTCTCTACAGAGAGAGACCTGAACTAAACGGTCAAAAAAGAGTTTATTACTTCAGTTTATTGTAGTACTGGGTAGCTCCTTCAGTTCAGTAAACTGTAATAATACTGAAGAAAACCCTACACTGGCCTGGTTTTTATCCAGATATACAAATTTATACCAAGAGATGCGGCTCACATGATAGTTTTTTATTTTTCTTCATTTATGTTGACTGAAAACAAATAAACAACAATCTCTGCCATCTTGGATAAACTTTTGGGGGCATGCTGATTGGTGACGTCACAATCTTTCTGGTTCATTCGCATGAAACTTTCTTAAATTAACGGTGGTGTTTGCATTATGAACGGCAATATACCTTAAAATATAATGCACTGTCAGAGCTGATTTAACCCAATCTTAGGTCGCTATGATATGGAACGGGTACTCGGATCAGAGTGAGTTTATTATCAGAAAAATTCAAAACTGATGAAAAAAATTAATTATGGAGTCCCCGTTGTTATAAAGAGAGCCGATGATCGTGAGCAAAAGCCGCTGTAACCCACGTTTTATTAAATTTGGGAACAAATTGCAATTAGCTTAAATCACAGTGTTTCCTGAGATTGTTTACAAGGATAAGTAAAAAAATGAAAATTATGATAGCAGGCTTCAAATATCTAAAACATTAGAAGCATATACTGTAAGTATCAATTTTCCTCGATGACTTATTTTAAAATTTCTCTATTTTGCATTGACATTTTACTATTTTAACATTGTGTTTTTTATGTTTCCGATATCTCTTGCCTGAGTTGCCTCACAGCCGGCTCGGGGATTGGGAACAAGATTGCCTCCAACAACGGATCGATTGTTTAGTTTAAAGTGAAATTGATAGAGAATCCAAAAGACCAAAATG